AAATGATTATGCAACCCTCTGTCTGTCACACTGTCTGAATACCTCAATGATCTCTGCAACCTGACCGACCTCTCTCAGCTCGGTGTCGATAAAAAGGCAGTGAAATCAAGGAGAAGGATTTCATTTCATACAGATATAACAATCTACTATCTCTCCCGCTGTATACGCCAGAACTGTGATCAAAGAAGTCTAATTATGCTGCTGTTCACCAAAACATTGTAGAAGATGTGGAAATAATTGAATTTGTCAATGAGCAATAAATGATTTCCTGGTCTGGATAATAATCTAAAATAAAATAAAAAATATATAAATATAAAAAACAAACTTTTAACCCAGTGGCCTATGAGTTACTGCCAATCACTCAATGCAAAACATATCTGCAATCACCAGACGGATTTAACAAGATAAAAGTTACTAGTAGAAGGAGACTAATCTATGCTTGTACATATTTACTAGTTGTAGTCTGTTAAAATATCTGGTTGATCTTAAATAATAAAGGATTTTTTTTTCCAGTTAGCTCCTTATTAGAAAAAAGTATGTTTTGCACAAAATAAATAGTTTTTCCTTGTCAACCAGAGCTCGATTTGCAGCCAGGTCAGCTTACAGCCTGTCAGAGAAACAGGAGATATGCAGCCACCAAACTGAGCAAGCTGTCTTGTTATCACTCTCGCTCCCTTCCCCCCCTGCGCTCCATGTGAGTTTCACCTGCTGAAGAATGGCTGCCCTATCTGCCCCCTCTCACTCATGCGCGCGGTTTCTGGGTGGTGGGGTGGGGATGGGGGTATCAACTGAGGCCCATCATGGCTTTTAGCAGGAATCAAAGGGAGAGAAGAAGATCTGCAGCGGTGTGACCAATCCTGTCAAGGCGAGAGGTTTTTGACATGAGTCACAGGGAGCATTTATTCTATTGTATTCTGTATGGGATATTATTGCTGACTAATAATTTCCCATTGTTGGGATTATGAAATTGCATCTTATATTATTAATTCCTTACCACCTTCACATAGATGATCAACGGAAAACTAAGTTAAGTTTACTTAATGGAGATGTGAAAAGTGGGACAGCAAATAGGAAAAAGAGGAGTAGCATCTCTTGATGGCCACTTCAAACCATGTTTTTAAATTCCAAAAACTAGTTGGACAAAGGGGGAAAAAAGGCATGGGGCCCCATGTCTACTTCAGCACAAATGTGAGAGCTTAATAACTCTGTAGTCAGGAATGTGTTTGCCATCTCAGCATAGAAAATGTACTGGATAGGCCAGGATATCCAAGCTTTTGCACAAGCCCCATTCAAGCAGCGCTGTTGTGGCTGCAAACCCGACCCCCGCTGAGGCAGTAAGGAGTGATGAAAGGCAGAACACAGCTTCACACTACATGAACAGCACAAATCTAACATAAAGCACATTTTCTTTCCTGACTCCTTATGGACGCTGCTGGGATCTTATGTCATCTTAGCTTAAGGTCATTTAGATGCATTCATCTGGCTCTGTTGTGACCTTCTATGAAACATTTCATTTGAGAAGACTTAGTCACTGTTTCTGCCTGTGATGCACAAGGAAAGTGTCAATATTTTATTTAAAAAGAAAACAACTTAAGAAATGAAAAAGTTGTATCTCTGTTTTTCTTATAAAACTTAACAACAGAATGAAAAAAAATGGGAAAACATATATACAATATATATAACAAATTATATCTGAGAAGCTGCATGTTACAGTAAATGTCATTAAACCGAGCAAACAGCAAAAAACAAATTTTCTTTTAATTTTAAGTAAGTTTGAACCAAATTGTACTTCAGTATAAGTATGGGTAGTATATTATATTTTTGTGTAAAAGTTTGTTCAGCAATAATTTGGGATTTTGGATATTTTTTCTAATCATAATAAGCCCAATTTAAAAAAAAAAAAAAAAAACTACCAAAACAAATAAAGCCTTATTAAAACCTTCTTTTTTACAAAACATAATTTAATCAATCTAAGTGCAATGATACAAAGAACACAATCGGTGTAATATATTTTTAGTACCTACCTAAGTATTTATCTGTCTACAAATTAAAAATTCGGGATCTTGTTCCATTTACAGCTTATTTTGATCCAATTTGGTGTTTTTTAACTGAACACTTTCTAAATAGCTGGGATATGACGACACCTAGTGGTTACAATCTGTAACTGCGAGTTCCCTCTCCTGCAGAAAGCCTGGAGAAAACGCGATAAAAGGCCACTTTAATCCCTTCTGTGTCAAACATCAGACAGAATGTGGATCCTCATTTAAAATGCGCAGGGTAACACCCCTAAAGATACCGGATTCCTTTGAAAACAGACGTGCTTTCTGAACGCAAACATGCTCACCAAGGTTTGGTCAAATTTTGAAAGGAGAGTTCGGTTTAAACTACAATCCCTGAGATTATGGTGGAAGGTAGAGTACATTATTTATTTCAGCTGATTTATTACATTTATGTTAAGATTTGGAAGTATCACCTTTATTGTTCTGGATTGAAGCTGATAATTAATTCAAAATACATATTGTTTTTTATTTTTACATTATGTTTTCTACTTTAGGAGGTTATTGTGGGATTTTAATTCATTTGGCATAAATTAGAAATTAAAGTCTGGATTTAAGAACTAGATATGAACTGCATTTTTCCCCCATCTTAAAAAAACCCAAAGGTATCAGGAAGTCAGTTATTAAACTCAGAGCAGTTCAAAGTCACGTTTTAGAGTTGTGGTTTGTGTGGTTATGCTGATGAAATGAGTTCAAGAGCAGCGGAAAAAGAGCTCTAATGTGTTGTGTAAACTAGAAGGAGGAAACTAATCTAAAATAGATAAGGATCACTGAAGTGAATAGTTTGGATCAAATCTGTTGCCACGGTTTTTTTTTCTTTCTTTTTTTTTTTCTTTACCAGTGTGCTGCTACTCAGCTGTTTGAGCTGCAAAAGTGCAATCTTTCAATAAGCAACCCAAATGGGTGGTTATTAGGTTTAAAGCACGTGACAGAAGATGGTTAATGACGACCCTAACCCCCACCCACACCCACACCTTTATGAGATGTAAGCCACAGAATGGCATTGCTGGCTGCAGAAGTGCATGAAGGATGGTTGAATGGAGGGGAAATGTGCAATAGAGAAACGTGCTGCAGTAATTAT